CCCAAGGCCCCTGTTGGTTGCGTCCTGGGCACGCACATTGGGAGGTGTTACACATCACACACTGGCCGAAGACGAACGAGAAAGCAGCATTGTCGTCACACAACCTCCACAGGCCAATGAGAATGCGGCAAACACTTGGAGCCTGGCCGGCTGCCTGGACATGCCAAACTGTAAAGGGCCCAGGCCTGTAACAGCAGGGTGGGCTTGGCGCAGAGCAGATACTGGGGCCCGACTGGTTACAAAGCAACGTGAGCCTTTCCTGGCGCCTTCCAGAAGCAACATCTGTGCTGCGCAGTTGAGCCCAAGGCCCCTGTTGGTTGCGTCCTGGGCACACACATTGGGAGGTGTTACACATCACACACTGGCCAAAGACGAACGAGAAAGCAGCATTGTCGTCACACAACCTCCACAGGCCAATGAGAATGCGGCAAACACTTGGAGCCTGGCTGGCTGCCTGGACATGCCCAACTGTAAAGGGCGCAGGCCTGTAACAGCAGGGTGGGCTGGGCACAGAGCAGGTACTGGGGCCACTGGAAGCTACTGGAAACTTCCTGAGCCAGGCCATGCAGCCAGACACAGGGCCACACTTTCGATAAAGGAAAGTGCCCTGCCCAGGAAAGGGCATTCTGGCCTGTACAGGCAATATGGCCATGCTGCTGCGTTGTTGTACAAGCATCTGCGCTAGCGCTGCTGGTCAGGGCGCACACGGGCACCAAGAGGTGAGAGTTCGCTGCTGTAGCAGTGGGCGCAGGGCGGCCATAGGCAGGCTGAGCGTGCGGGTGGTGCAGGTGATGGCGATGGTTGTCTTCGAGTAGGAGGCGCATGCAGAGGGGATCAAGGTGTGATGAGGGGAGGAGAGAGAACGTAGCTGATTTATGCTGGCGGTCAGCATTGGTGATGACGTCATGTACATTGGTCTCCAACTTCGATGTGATCCGGTCGCATGAACGCAGATAGGATGGATAGGCTGAGTAGTGTAGGCTGGGCGCTGGGCGCCGGACAGTAGGAGCGACATGGATACAGTGTTGGTGTGAGCAGAGAGCGTTGGCATTTGCATTGGCACTCGAGTTCAATGTATTCCTCCTAATTGGATGTTATCTTGGTGCATCGTGGTCTGTGCTTGGTATTTCGTAATTCTGCAACTTGGATTTCTGTCTAACCCTCTTGCTTATATTCCTTAAAAATGAAAAATTAGATGGAATAAACTGAAGTCAATTGCATGGAATGAGCCCTCGCGTGGGCCTTTTTAAACATGGACATGTTCTGGGCAGAGGACCGCAGCAAGCCCAGTGCCCACTCTAACTGAAGGCGGGCCTGAATATTCACCAGAGGCCAAAAGTTGACATTTTGTATATGTCGGTACTCAGGCAGTTGCAGCACGCCAGTGGGTTGAGTGGAAGTGTGAGCCTTCCCTGTGCTACGTCGTAGAGTTGGGCCCTGGCCTTGGTAGTTGCGCCTGGGCAGACACACACAATTGAACGCAGATGCATCACGAATTGGCTACGGGCCTACGAACGAGCAGCATTGTCGACGCACCTATTCGCGCCCTGTGCAAGTGCAGCAAACGGCTCAAGTTCGGAAATATTGGTTCGGTCGTGCACAACTGTAAAAGGTCCAGGCACTCAACTGTACAGATGCAGCCTGGGCGCAGGCACTGGGGCCTGACCGGAGGCTACTGGAAGCTTCTCAGTCAGGCCACACACAGCCAAACGGGGGCTGCCACTTCCATATAGGAAGTGAGGCAGCCAGAGCCGGACATACTGGCCCACGCAGGCAATGAGGTCACACTGCGGCGTTAGAGGCTGCGTGCTGTGGCCAGGGCGCTTGCGGGGCGCATGAGAGGTGAGAGGGGCGCTGCTGGGCAGCGGAGCGCTAGCAGCCATAGCCGGGCTGCAGGGCGCTGGGGGGTAAGAGGGGGAACGGTGGTCTTCAGGAAGGAGGCGAGTGTTGGTGGTCAGGGTCTGATGAGGGGAGACGAGATACGTACCTGGTACATGAGAAAGGTCGGCTATGGTGTTGACGTCGTGTACATTGGTCTTCAAGACTTGAAGTGAGCCTGTTGCGTAAATACTGATGTAGGTAGGATAGGCAAGTAGTGTAGGCTGGGCGCTGGGCGCCGGACGAGAGGAGCAACATTGGATACTGTGTTGGAGTGGCCTGAGGGCTTTAACATTGGCTCATGACTTTATTGTATTGCTCTTATTTGGATGGTCTCTCGGTGCATTTGTGCTCTCTGCTTGTACACGACTACTTGGACATCTGTGTGATTTTGCAACTCGACTTTCTGTATATCGTTCCCACTCATATTCCTTGTACGGGCAGGGCTGTGACTTCCATGTGTAGGGTAAAAGATCACAGTTATGCAAACTGTGAGCCCCAAAGCCTTGGGTTGTGGAATCCTGCCAGCCCTGAGTGACGGTTGCAGTGAGATACGTACCTGCTGCATGAGAGAGGTCGGCTATGGTGTTGACGTCATGTACATTGGTCTTAAAGAGTCGAACTGAGCCTGTTGTGTGGATACTGATGTAGGTTGAATAGGCAATTAGTGTAGGCTGGGCGCTGGGCCTCCAGACAAAGAGGAGCAGCATTGGATGCTGTGTTGGTGTGGCCCGAGGGCTTGAACATTGGCTCATGATTTCTTTGTATTGCACTTATTTGGATGGAATCTCGGTGCATTTGTGCTCTCTGCTTGTACACGACTACTTGGACATGGTGTGATTTTGGAACTCGGCTTTCTGTACATCGTTCCCACTCACATTCCTTGCACAAAGAGTTCTTGAATGAGACATATGCTTTATTTTTCTCGTACTGGCAGGGCTGTGGCTTCCATGTGTAGGGTCAAAGATCACATTTATGCAAACTGTGAGCCCTGAGTGATGGTCGCATCAAGATACGTACCTGGTACATGAGAGAGGTCGGCTATGGTGTTGACGTCATGTGTACATTGGTCTTCAAGAGTCGAACTGAGCCTGTGGCGTGAATACTGATGTAGGTAGGATAGGCAAGCAGTGTAGGCTGGGCGCTGGGCGCCAACATTGAATACTGTGTTGGTGTGGCCTGAGGGCTGGAACATTTGCTCATGCCTTCATTGTATTGCTCTTATTTGGATGGAATCTCGGTGTATTTGTGCTCTCTGTTTGCACATGACTACTTGGACATCTGTGTGATTTTGCAACTCGGCTTCTTTATATCGTTCCCACTCATATTCCTTGCACAAAGAGTTGTAGAATGAGACACACACTTTATTTTCCTCGTACTGGCAGGGCTGTGGCTTCCATGTGTAGGGTAAAAGATCACATTTATGGAAACTGTGAGCCCCGAAGCCTTGTCGTGGAATCCTGCCAGCCCTGAGTGATGGTCGCAGCGAGATAAAAGAAGTTCGGCCCTAACTGAATGCTGAGCCCGAGGGTACTGGGCCTGAGACAGGAGGAAGCCTCTGTAAATAACTGGTAACCACAGCTGTCATTTAGTTACACAGGCTGGGGCCGGGACTGCAGACTGTTGCCTCCAGAAGAAATAAACGGAGGGAGGCCACCGGGGAGAAAACGTTTGGCGATTGGCTGCACATGCCAGCAGTGTAGCAACCTGGAGCTCAGATGGCGCCCAAGAGAGTGGGAGAAGCTGAAATAGGTGGGCAGGATGGTGGCAAGGGTATTTGGGTGATGAGATAAGAGGAGGGAAACCGTGGGAACTAGCAGTGTTTACCTGGTCCTGATGGAGGAGTATATGTGTGATGCCTGTTGACAGTGAAGGGTGGTAGCTTAACATGTGTAGATGGAGTGAAGAGTAGCATAGGTGGATACACAATACGAGAGCTTCTACATCGTTGTTATTTGAATTCTTTGAGGCGAGAAGTGGGATTTCTTTGTTATTCCGCCAGTTCACCTGAAGAAGACTGTTCTTACTGGTTGAAATGGTAAGAGCATTTTTCTTCGGGCCTGGGCCAGTAGCAAAAGCGACAAGCTACTTTGAAAAGGCACAGTTACAGGCACGCGAGCCCTGGAAGGTAGCTTTGTCAACTTTGGCTCATGTGAACTGTGGTTTAAGAGACTTCAGTGTTCGATGTAGTCTTAATTGGTGTGCTCTCAGCTTTTGTAATTCTGCTTTCAATGTGGCTTACATGTTCGGTCTTCTATGAGCTCTTTGTGTTCGTAATTGGATGGCTCGTTGCAATACATATAAATCATTTTTGCCTACATGAATCCAATTGAATGTTGCTTGCTCAATTCAAATTGCTACGATGTCGAAACTGGCCGCGTAACTTCTGAGGATGACCTCTGCAAAAGGCTACCGCATGATTATGCTGGGGGCTGACTCCCTTTTGCACAATAAATACCCTCTTGGGATAAAAAGCTTATCATGGCTATGGACTTCACTGCAACATGGATCTCATGCAGCCGGATAAATGGGTCTGATTTATCGAGGACTAGGACACTCCACTTCTTCCGATGTCATGAAAGCAATCACGCTCCTTATCCGTGAAGTGAGCCCATCTCAGTTTTGGTTGTGGAATGTTTCCAGTTTACAACAAGCAACATTTGTATCTCTGGTGCAAAACAGTTGAACCGATGTCTCCTGTAAGAAGTTGCCATTGCGGTTACTTGACGTGCAAGGCTCACTGCTCATGTTGTTGGAAAACTCCCAAAGAAGTCTGTCAGGTTTTGAGACAGTTTCATGCTCGAGTTTCCACAAACAAGTTTTCAATGTGTGGTCGTCACCTATCTGATAGCCAGCTGCTCAAAGTTTCATTGGGTGGCAACTTTAAAAATCCCTGCTGAGGTGTGGAAAGAGTTTCATGCTCAAGTTTTGGCACAGAGGATTCTTCATGTCTGGCCATTCCTGTGGTGATGGGGTTTGATCTTGTGTTGTATGTTCAGTGGAATAAGGCTGCACGTTGAAACGTTGGGGGTGAACATGGCCAAATTTGAACGTGTTTGTCTGTGTCTTGTTGAGTTATGCATAGGTTGACAATGGACGATTTCCGACTCTTCTGGCCACAGGTTTTCATTTTGAGATGTGAGGGCCGATGTCCGCGGGGAATTCCTTCACATGGTGCATCTTTCCAAGGCAGACCTATGTCCGTAGAGGTAAGGGGTACAAGAAGCAAACAACATTGTTTTGCGTTGCCATGTGTGCATTAGTTTTTTGCTGGAGCATGCGGGGTGGGGAAAGGGAAGTGTGAAAAGGCAAGTTCCATATCCTCTTCCCGCTCTCTTTCTTTATGTTCTGGGAAGTGTACCCTGCTTTCGACTTTGACTGATTTCTGCTCCTCTGTCCACCATCCTCCTCTTACTCTTCAAACCTGTCCCAATGTTTCAACGTCTCTTCCACCATCTCAGGGTATGCCTTTGGTTCCTCCCCTGCCCCTCTCCACCAACCAGCACTGTGCCCTTGTGCTTTGGACTTTTTCATGTCTGTTTCTTCATTTGTGTCCTAGTGCTTTCATGGTAAACAATCTCTGAGAGAGAATCCGAATGTGCAAGTATAGTGCACAATTAAACCGCCAGTACCTTTGAGCTGCCCCTGCCCAGCCTGTCCGCGGCCAGTGCCCGACGCTGTGGGAGGGCAGGCCGGAAAAAGAGATGTGGCTGCATAAAGGAAAATAATAAAAATAAAAACAGAACGAGATGAGGAGCGGTGGCCTTGGTTGGGTTGTTGGGAACCTAGAGAAGACAAGACGCACCATTCCAGTACCTACCAATTGGGCAAAATGTGTATGAATCCCCTGCTAGTGCATGGGAAGATACGACCCCATTTCTTTTCTCTTTTTTGCATGTGGTGAGCAGTACAGAGGCACGGGGAGAGTGTTCTGGTGGACTGGTACCTCAAACCACGGTGTCTGCCAATTGTAATCGGGAAAGGGACGGAAAAAAATGGATACCTTTGTGGAATCCACTTTGCAAATCAACTTCAAATCTGGCCCGTTCACTACTCGAAGCGCCTTGCGTCACGACTCGCCCAATTTGCAAAATGAGAACGAATTAACACGGCAATATGCATCTCCTTTGTAAATGTGGTGTTTCTCGTATAGTTTTTCGTGAATTAGCATCCAGAGGTGCTTTATATGGCATAAATAAGTCCAGTTGGTAGTTTAGGTGCTTTATATAGTAGATCCATCTATGAGGACGAGAGGGCCTTGGAATGAATCTTTTCTAGGAACAATGTCAAACATGGAAAGAGGACAGGCCATACGACAGGGCCTGGGAATGAATCTTTTCTACGAACATGGAATGAGGACAGTCCATAATTCTTGCGAAGTCTTTTCTATGCACCAAAAACCTTCGTTCCTTTTTTATATTTTCGCTGTTTTCCAGATAAAGCACAACTTCCTGACTTGCAATTCCTGCGTGAAAATAACGCTTCCTGAAGCTGTGCCAACCCTGTGGGGGCACCTTCCGCCATGCTCGGTGATACAAGAAGATAGTGGGGAAAGGTACTGGCGGTTTAACAGCCAGAAGTGGTTATCTTCAGTCGGAGTCCAAGCTCTGGGGGGAAGGATGCTGTCCATGCCCTGGAGTGGTGTAAGAATACCCTCAGGTAGGTAGGACTAGGGTTCTGAGCCCCATTGAAGACCCTCAGGTGGAGAATGCGGGCAAGAGGAAAGTCAACAGTCAAGCCCTACTAGGCCACAAAAGAGCTAGTCTAAGATTTCCCACAAGTCAATCTTGGTTGCAGATGGCACACAAATCGAAAGGCACAGATCTTGCTACCAGATGTTTCCAGGGGCAACTGGGTTCTAGTGGCCTCAGGCTGGAGCTGCATCTGGGCTGCTGGAGTCTAAATTATCTCAGCTGTTGAAGGAAACCAGAGGAGGCCGGTCAAGACTACAAAAGAGAGGCTCCACCTAGTCGTCCAGCATTCTGCCCTGCAAGTTGCTGTCGGCACTTGGGTGGCGAAGTCTTCTAGCACCAGCCAGAGGTAGTAGTAGTTGCAGCCGTAACTATGGACGAAACAAAAGGCTGCCGAGTGGTAGAGGGAAGCTGCTGCCTTGATATTCATTGTGTGTGAGAGGGAAGAGAGTGAGTCAGAGAGAGAGAGGATAGAGAGAGGGAAGGGAAGGCCTGGGAGAGAGTATTGCTTACCTGGAGACTCACATTCTGGTACTCTTTATTCATTGCTTCATCAATGCGCATAAGTGATCACAGATTTGTCAGATCGGCCTGCGATCTGCCCGTCCACTGGATGAACGGCCTGTACGGTTGGAGGGACTTTTGTTTGGAATGTTTGTAGCATTTTGTTATTTTCTTTTCTTTTTTGGGGCATATTATGTGAAAACCCTCCCTTTGGACATACACTCGACTACAGCTTTATGCGTTTGATGACCCCTATGCAAAATATGTGCCGAATGCGACCAACACAACTTATGCGACCCTTACGCGACCTATACTATGGGACCTACATGACCCACCCTAGCACACTCTCCCTCTCTGCCTCTGTCTCTCTCTCTCTCTCTCCTGTCTCTCGTCTCTCTCTCTCTCTCGCCTTTCCTTACTTGCCTCCTGAACGTGGTGTCTCGTGTTTCATGAAGTTGGCCATGTAAATTGTGTTGCATGCTGAGCCTGCACACGTGCCCCGCTTCAGGGGCCGAAAGGTTGCTGAGGGGCCCCCGAGCGGTGTGCCCACCAGACACGCCCCCTGGAGGCCCACGGTGGGTGGCCCTCAGGCCGCACGTATGGATTAGCAACAGCATCTATCTATTTATTTTGCTGTCCTATTTTTGTCTGTTCAGACGTCGTTTCGGACTTGCAGGCCCCAAGCCTGCGCCTTGGGCTGGGTACACCAGGGGCAGGGCCATTTTGAGGCCAGGCGGGTTTTTGCGCCCTGCTGCATGAGCAGCACGGTCTGGACGCCTGGTAGGGGCGGAGGCCGCATGGGCCGTTCTGGGCCATCATCAGAGGCACACCCAGCTAGGCCCAGGGCTACTTATAGCTGGGCTACGGCTGGGCACAGACATGGTTGGAGTAGCTCACTTCTTGGGCGACACGCTGTTGGAGCGGTGCGACAGCGCTGCGTTAGAGTAGAGGAGTAGGCAGGCAGAGGGGCGGAGGCCATACTTGCAGCGGTGAGCTTACCTGGCACCATAGCTGGGACTCCATGCCGGCGACCTGCACATGACGACGACGACAGTCAGTCCCAGGCCGCCGCTACCTGCAGGTGAGACAGCGAGGAGGATGACATCTTCTTCTTCGCCCTCCATCTCTCCTCCCTCGTATCTTCTTCTTCTTGTTCTTCTTCTTCTAGAGAGAGAGAGAGGTTACTAGTAGAGGTTACATCGGGCATGTGCCCAGGATCTGATTCGACATTTGCGGCAGACACTGATTGGACACTCGGCAAGAAACTATATTTGGACTTCTCTATTGCGATCCTGGTGTTCTCCCTCGCCTCCGTCTTCGTCTTGCCTCCCTCCTCCCTCTTTCACATGGGTGGTATATGATGGCGTGTCACATCAGTATCTGGCAGATCAGGTCATGTCTTTGAGTTTTCCGCTGCACGACATTGTGCTATATTCATATGTATCTGGATGTAAATTGCTTATTGATGCTTTGCTGACACTGCATTGTCCATACGAGTCCTTCTCATCACTTCGCCGATCCTTGGCTCCCATACTCGCCCGACTAAGCATGTTACAGTTGGTATCGGATCCCTGCGCGTGAGTCAGGAGTCGAACCTGACCTGACGCGCGACGGGGGAGGATCGATCGATTGATTGATTTATTGATTGACGGTTGATTGATTGATTGATTGATGGATGGATTAGGTTGTAATTAACCCCCAAAATTGTGTTTTTTTAAACCTAACAACCAATTTTTTTTTTTCGTTCGGAATGTTTTGTGCGCAATTCTGTTTCTGTACAAAACTGAAATCGCGCGTTCTGGACATTTCCGAAATAGCTTTAAGCAAATTGTTTTTTTGCTAGGGTACCAGCCGGGCCGCCCTGGTCACCCTATTTTCGTGGACGGCCCGGCCGTACAAGGACTAGGGAAGGTCCTAGCAAAAAAAAAAAAAATCAAAGAAGTAAAAAGAAATCCAAAAAATATGCAGAAAAATGAAATGAACAACTTTTGCCCCAGGGGTCTGGTCCCACCTAACGTCGTTGAGTTTAGAAAACTCAATGGTGTGACGCCATTTCGACATTAATAAATTCAAGACAAGAAATTAAAAAACTGAAAAAAACGCTAGAAACAGCTTTTCTCCTTATTTTTTATAATGTAACTTGGAGAAATGAAACATGTCTGGAACAGTCGGAGTGAAAGTCTCCGTGAAAAAGGGATACTCCCCGTGGTGGGCGGACAGGAGGTCACCATTTGTAAAATGGACAGGGACGACGTGGATGGCCAAATGCATTAATTGCCCAAAGAAGGAAACGAGTTTGATGCCAGACAGCCAAACACAGCTGTCAGAGTTCCTCCGTTTCAGGATGCAGTGGGGTCTAAAAAAACAAAAAAAAGGAAAGGCACTGCCGTTGAGAAATGTAGCCTACCCTCGGTAGGGTAGTTTTCTCAATGTAAAATGGCTTCCCGCCCAAACCAAAAGGGCCAACGCATACTACAAAACGGATTTCACGTCAAAAAAAATTTCTACAAAATGACTAAATCTAATAGGTTATTCTCCTGTATTTTGGTACCGTTAGATTTGCAATACATCAACGGCAGAGCTCCGTCCCACCATGCCACACGTGATAGAAAGCTCAGTGTTGAGAAAACTGAACGCTGTAGGTGGGACCAGACCCCATGGTCGCATCGAAATTCTTTACCAAATTTAGAATAAAAAATAGTTAAAAATGTAACTTTTTTTTTTTATTATTATTATTTTTTTTTTCGTTCGGAAGCCCAGTTTTTTTGTAAATTTCGTTTATACACAAATTCGTTTTTTTTGGAAATTCTGACACGCGGATTAATTGGTAGCAGGAAATTTTGATTCTCCTTATGATCGAGAAATTTGAACGAGTGCCATCCACAAAGCTACCGTTTACTATTCCTCTTCCGCACTCGTGATCCCGTGGTTGTAACGTTCGCCTACGGACTTGTTTTCGGACCCTCGAGTGGTGCGGTTGTTCGGCGAACTGGGATACGCCTTTGTTTCTTCAG